AAAAACCCACACAGCGGGTGCTAGATTAGGCTTTGTTCACCCTTCTTTTTCCACCAGTAACCAGATGGCAAACCTCATTCTCAACATTAGCTAGGGAGCCTTTTTTTGTTGCAAAAACTGTGGCATTGTGCACAGAGATCGCCGTACCATGTGAACGATGCATGCTGGGAGTCCTGAGCCAGCAGCCCGAGTCTCCATCTGGATGTGGAAGTGACTTCGTCAGCAGTGGAAGTATGCTACTGTCGCCACCGGTGGCCTCACGCTACACCAATTTTTCTCATTCAGCCACAAAATGACAGCTGCCAGGAGTCCTTTGCACAGCGCTGCATCTTTATGACTTATCGCCACTGCTGATAAATATAGTCATTCCCTGCGCAAGTCCCTCTACTGCTCCGGGTGAACATCTATGAAACATAATGGCGCTGGTCAGCAGTGTGAAATGCTCAGAGCTCAGATCAGGTGCAGGTTTGTTAGAGGGTTTTCACATCCCGCCGTGCAGCTGGAAAGCCATGAAACCTGCCTTCAGAAATGAAGGAAAGGCCAGATTATTTGTATAGTTCATTTCATGCACAGCAGTCATTCAGAGCGCTTTACATAGTAAAATGAATATTAAAAGGCCAATATTCTGGGTTAATCTCACAAGTTGCATTTTAAACCAATATAAAAAAGAAATAAGAATGTGAAAATGAAGTGTATTGTAGGACCGTTAAGATTGTGTCATTATTTTAATGAGAAGTTGTTCAGGTGGTAGTACTAAAATTGTGGAAAAGAACTTAAACCATAGATTTCTTTAGGAATTTCGAAAAGTGTATTTGTATGCAAATGATTTGAAATAAAAGAAAAAGAGAAACAAACGCATTGCAGTGTAATGGTCAGGGATATTACAGTCAACTAAAACTAAAACCATAAAAATACATTTTCATTACTTGAAATAAAAAAACAAAAAAATAGCTTAAATTGTTAAAATAAAAACAAATAATTTTACTTAGTTAACAACTAATTAATTTAGTTGAAATGAAGCTTCGACGTAGAACTTGATGTACTAAAATATCAACTAAAACTTAAATAGAAATTAATAAAAACTGTATAGACATTTACAAAAAACTAATAAAATTGCCCCAAAAAAATCACAACAAAATGACTAAAACTTAAAATAAGTTTTAAAAGATAAAAATTCATTACAAAATATTTGTATTTATTTTTATCAAAA